AAGCAACCCAGCAATCGCTCAAACACATTCACGTAAACTCCTTTCGAAATTAAGAGACAAGTTTTGGAAAGGTTCCTTGGCTGAATTAAACTTCAACTTAGAGAATCTAGACAGGTTTTTCGATTTTTTTAAAATCTGCGACTCTCGGGTGTGAGATGAGAGAAGGAAAGAACAGACGGAGATAGAGAGATAGCATCTTTCCCGTCGGCGACAGTTTTGAGGGCAGGGGCGGAAGAACTTGAAGAAGGTCGTAACTCCAGTATTGATGGATATAATATATTATCGCTTCTGGCCTTGTGGAAAAGGGGGAAGGTGGGGGGGGGGATGTTGGGAGGACACTGTTCACGATTTTCATACCTCTTGATTCCGCCCGGGCTCTGCTCCTTCTTTCCTATTAAACACCCATCGTCCTGATCTCTTCTCTTTCTTCTTGTGTGTACGTTACTCTCTTGTAACACCTCTAAATACTCTAATCGTCGGCACTTAGGACGACCGCATTGTGTTCCAAATGTTGATGGGTGGTTGGAGGGCACCATCTTGTGTAGGTCTTTCTTTTCTTTCCTTCTATCGTTTTATTTCTGTCTGTCTATCTTCTCTTTTTTTCTCTCTTCCTCCGTTGAATTCAAATGGGCGCTATCGTGTTGGTGTGCTTTGTACAGGAACGAAATCGGATGTCTGATAATAATGTTATGTTGTAGGGAACACTACGCACATACAGTCATAAAAAGGGAACGCTATATCTAGTGCTCTGTGCACATACCAGTCGGATGCATCAGACTGAGTCATCTCTTTTTTCTTCTTTTTGTAGGTTTTTAAAAATTTATTTTGTAAGTGTTTTACGGCACTCGCAACTACATAAAGTCATATGAGCGCGGGGGACACATGAAACTTTTTTTCAGTTTGTAAGAAATTTTGAATTTTTCCCTGGTTGCGACCGAAGCCTACTCTTATCGATTTGGGACTACCAAGGGATCCTTAGCGTGCGCAACTTGTATACGGGACCTCCGACTTTTTTGCCCTTTTCCAAGAAGGCTTGGTGTTAGATCTTACCTACCATAAAACCAGGGGAGTGACTGAAAGACAGCTGTA